GAGAAAGAGAGATAGAAGATTCATCGTCATGGACGAGTTCGATCGACTAGCAATAAATCCTGGCTTGACCAATCCACCACCACCACCACCACCACCACCACCACCATCCACTACCACCAAAGTTACGATAACGTTCCTATAAAAGGACTAAAAATATCCTCCAAACGTCATTTTCGACGCTACCATCCAAAAAGATTATACGAATTTTCACGCTTCATCTCCAACCAACCCAGATTGTCCTAAAGAAGATCCATTTTTTTTTTTTTATTCTCTTCTTTTTATTTCTCTACATATTTTATCGTTTTTTTTTTTCTATCAAATATTCTTTCTGATTTATATCATAATTTTGTTATTGTAAAAGAATTTTATTATTGAATATTATTATTTCATATTATTTCTCGATATAGCGATATTTATAATACGTAAAATACAATTACAATATTTATATATACGTGTGTTGGTAAATGAAAATAATTTTTAATTAAATCTCGATACAATTATTAATTAAATTTTTTTCGTATATTTTTAATATGCCATATTCATACATGGTTGAAAAAATAATTCTTCATTGTCAGTTATTTTATTCGTTGAACATTTTTAATGATATAAAAAATTTGTTAAACATATTATCTAAATTAATGCGCGTATAATAAATAAAAATAAATATTGCAGAATCACATGTACTTTTAAGTAAAAAGTAATTATAATAAAAACAAGAAAATAATAAAATACGGAGAACACTTAAGGAAGAAAAAGAGAAATAGAGATAGAAAGAATATTAACGTTTAACGAGATAATTTATACGAAAGTTGTTATCAATATCGTATTAAACGGGGTTTAACGTTAAAGTGATAAATGTAAAATCGATTTGAAAAAGAGCTCTATCTCTTTCTCGTCGAGTTTCCTCGTAGAAGATGAAAATAGATGCAGTAGTAGTAGTAGTAGTAGTAATAGTAGTAGTAGTAATAGGAGTAAGAGAAGAAGAAGAAGAAAAAAAAAGTAGGTGGATGAAAAAAATCGACAGGAAAAAAATTAAATCATCCATTTTTTACAGGATTTATTAATTTTCTCTGACAATGAGTAGATAGACGCATGGCGAAAACAGAAAACACAAATGGTAGGTTTGAGTAGAAAGGTTGAAAAGTGAGGGTGGTAAAAATCGTAGATATCTTCGTGTTTCTCGTACGAACGAACGTGTAGGAGAGAGAGAGAGAGAGAGAGAGAGAGAGAGAGAGAGAGAGAGAGAGAGGGTTGAAGTCATCGATATATCGACAAATCCACTACTACTACAACTACTACCAACATCACCAGACGAACAGACGTATCGGCAAGCTAGGAACAATTACCATTTCCCGTTCGGTCGTTCGAAGTGCTCGTTTCCTCGCGCATTCCGTTTCGTATCGAGCGAAAATAAATCTTGCATCTTGACGTCTACGAGCTATGCAGAAAAAGAAGGAAAAGTAGGAATGGAAAGATAGAAAGAAATAAGAAGAAAATAGAAGAGAAAGAAAGAAAGAAAGAAAGAAAGAGAGAGAAAGAGAGAGAGAGAGATAAAGTATGTTGAAAGAAGACAAAAGCGAACTTTCTCTAGAGTTCTGTTTCCATGTTTCTGAACATCCTTTTACAGCTTACGATAAACTTTGTCTCCCAGGCATTTTCTTTTATCCTTTATTCCTCTTCTTTTAATATTTATCTCTATCTGACTTTAGTCCCACTTTTAATATCCTACCATCGATCTGTTTATTCTATTTTGTGATTATATTAAACGTGTATCATATAATTTATTTGTTATTCCCTTCTGCTTTTATTCGTCTTTTGTAATTTTTTCTATACCCATTTATCATGATAGCAATCTAAGTAGTATATTTTTTTTTGTAATTTTTATTAAAGTTAATTTCTAGTTGTAGATATTATTACTGTTAACGACAAAAAAATAAATATTAAAATTAAAATCAAATTATTGTTAAAATAAAACAATGAGATTATAATATTAAAGTATTTATTTATATATTATTTCAATAAATTATTTAATGTACTTTAATATTAATTTATTGCTATATAATATTATATTTAATATTATATATTAATAATGTGTATACCATATTATATACTATAATATAAATTGAAATAATTAAACAGTTATTATTAAAGTTAATTAGTAAATAGTAATTGAAGTATATTAAATATAATATTTATAATTATTATATTTAAATATATAAATTATATTTATTATATTATTAATTATATTTACTATATTATATTTATATATATATATATATAATAAATATAACAAAATTCATTTATATTTGTTATATATGATTATTTAAATAATAAATTTATATCACTTATTTCGTTATAATATGTGTATCGTCTAGTATTAGAAAATCCATAAACAAAATCGTAAAAACACACCCATAAACAAAACTACAGCAATCATCGATGAACCCAATCTAATATCTTACGTGAACGCGTTTTATTCGGAGTCAAAAAAGAAAAAAAAGAAGAAAGACAGAGGTTTTTTTTCCTTATATCCCCCTCACCTACCCTGTCTCTTGGTTTAACGATCCCAATGAACGTACCGCGAATAGATCCTCGAGTTGTCGAGGAAATGCTACGAGATACGTTGTTCTACATCGACGGTCGGTTTAATGGCTCATTCGGCGATACGCCAGCAAGCGTTCGAGCATGAGCCATAAGATTTTGACCTCCTTTCGGTGTACGTCAAAATCGTGTCACGAGAAGAAATACTCCCACACCCCCTAGCCCCCAGCTAGCTCATCCTGCGAACTAAATCAGTCCCACCTCATCCTTCCTTTCCATTTTTTTTCATTCTTCAAAATTGTCGAATCCGTGCTAGTTTTCTTTTTTCTTCTTCTACAGCTTATTTGTGTGTGTGTGTGTGTGTGTGTGTGTGTGTGTGTGT